TCTCTTGTAACAGGGAACACCGCTGAAAAAATTTAGTGTTGTTATAGGGATTACTCCACTTAATTAGTCAACCTTAAACTCTGACCCCTAGGTCCAGCCGAAGTGAAACGTGGCAATTGGACTCATGTAGCAATTTCACTGAATTAAATGTCTTCCTGTTGGAAAAGTTTCAGATCAAAAAAATTCCTCGTTCAATTGGTAACAAGCACCTCTTGTTAGTACGATTTAACACCTTTGAAAAGATGTATGGAACCAAAATTTAATGCCGTATTACAAACAACAAACTTAAAACATTTCCATTCCACATTACAAATTTCAGTCATTCCTTAACCTCAGGGGTGACTTCTACCCATCATATTTTTGAACTCCTCATACGAGATAATGCCATTGCGATCAAGATCAGCCTCTAAGATCATCTCCTCCACCTCGTTGTCTGTCAATTTTAGATGCAGATTATGCAGCAATTGTTTCAGTTCCGCGGTGGTGATGCTTCCATCGTCATTTTTATCAAAGAAGGCAAAAGCAATGCGAAAGTAGAAATCGCCACTCTTACTCTCATCCAGTAGTGGTTGCATGAGACTGACAAATTCACGAAAATCTATGCGTCCATCGTGGTTCTTGTCTAAGTTGCTAAAGATCTCCTTAGCCTCGTCAGCTGTGCAGGCCCGATTGAATTGTTTCATCATGGTCTTCAACTCCGACAGCGACATGTATCCATTGTGATCGCGATCGAAGAGGGCAAACACCTCTCGCAACTCCTCCAAACTCTCCTCACTTGGCGAACCTGGCATCAATAAATTGCAACGCCAAGTCACGACAGGTCACGTAGACGTCACGTTTTATGATTGATTGATTTGCCTCAAGGTTACGAAGGTGACACGACGATACAGCGGGTAGGAAGAAGGAAACAGCTATTGATGCATTCAATAATCATCTTCATGGCCTTCTATACAATTGACAGTGTTCGGGGAACTGTATTTAAAAATTGTTAGAAAAGACTACCGGAAAGCAAGACAGCATCTGCATCCGTCCACCATCGGTAGGGTGGGGGGGGGAGGGAAACATGCTGACTTCTCTACTGTTTCCATCGCAGGTGGAACATACCTCCATTCTATAAAAAGTCTGTAAAAACTGATCATTCTCTTGCAACAATGAAAACGAAAACAAATTTAACAGCCACTGAGTTAAGATTCATCTAAATATGAGAAAAAATGAGCCATAGAAAAACACTTTACAGGCGTCGAGACCCATCACCTTATTTCACAGTAGAAAACTCTCACATCTATAAACATACACACACACACACACACACATACACACACACACACACACACATCCACATACACGGAAATGGATAGTTAAAAAGA